GCATTGGATTCTGCCATCGGGCCAAATCCTTACAGAGAGAACTCCTCAGTGGGAAGATATGTGGCAAATCTTTGCGGTGACGGAGGCCCCGAACAACAGATTTACGTGGCGCGTCGTTTACGACCAGCGTCTGACCATGCTGAAGGTCCTCCCTGTCTACAAAGCAGGGTGCGTCGACGTCCTGGAGCATAGCCGGCTGATCAGAGCCGGTTACCACGAGGATGGGCTAGCACATGGCAGGATGACGCGTGCCTCATCTGTCATCGGGGCACAAGTCCCGATGAGGCATGATGGCATGCGGAGAATTTAAAGAGGAATTCCTCTACGAGGCGGCCTTGTGGCAGCCCGACAAGCTTCGCCCTGCAATGGGCTGGAGAGACGTCGGAATGCTCCAGGATGAGCCCCCGAAACCCACCGATACGTTCCATGAACGTGGCGGTGGGGCGAACAGACAGAAGCCGAGAGCGGCCCGGATGCAGAATTCAGAGATCTCAGGCCCGTTGGCGAGAAATTTGGAAACGCGACAACCCGAAGGCGGCGCTGGCTCGCTACTACTCTGCAATGGCAGGAAAGACGGCTACCCTCTCATCGGAAAGGTCAGTATTCGCATGGGTCCCGTCATCGCCCGCGGACAAACGCCCTCCCATGGCAATGGGGCGCGCGAAGTCAAAGGGCATGAGCTGGCACGCAGGTGGACGCTCTACCAGGAGCACCGCGGTCAGCGGCCCGCCGGCTACAACGCCACGTGCCCCTCATGGAAATGGTGGGCTTACTTGTCCAGACGGGTAGATCTGACCGGCTAAGGCACAGACGTGGGCATCCTCAGCGTTTTCGATTGGGATGCCACGGACCCCGATGCTCGCGGCGAGTTCATTCCCAGCGCGGGATGGGGGGCCTGGTGTCATGACAACTGCCACGACCTGCCGCGGACAATATATGACCTCCGGGGCGATTCAAGAGGATATTGAATGCCACTGGCAGCCAAATGAGGAATTGGCCGGCATCGTGGAGGAGGAGGATGGAGAAGAAGACAACCTCCAGAGAACAAGAGCGCATCGCTCGGCCTCGGTAAGGCCATCTGCTCCTGCCCATGGCAGACGTGGCAGATCCCACAGCCGCACGAGGCGCGTGCGATCAGGAGACGCGCCCGGGGCATTTGGTGGGCGCGCCATGCGCAGACGAGATAGGTCTTACGCTCCACATCGCGACGTCCACTATGCTGTTTACAGCGTCAAGAGGGCGACCGAGGAACTCGTCGCGTACTTCGCCGCCACGGGAGAGCCAGAGGAACACCATCAAGCGATCGACGTGCCTACCTGTGAGGCAGGGGTCCGTATGATGTGATATGAGCCACCAGAGTTCTCCGTCTACGATCCCGACTTACGCTCGTCGGAGATGGGATGGATGTCGGAGCAAATCTACAGAGTAGCCGTCGAGCTCACCAAGGACTTCAGATGGGCAGAGATCGACGGAGAGACTGCGGATGAGGACGCCATGCGTATTCATCTTGCGGAAGTGGAGCAACATCGAGCAAGTTTGCTACGTGAAGCTCACCTACTCAAGGCTCGTCGCGAGATGCTGGGCCTCGACTTCCGAGATATCTACCAGCATCGGGCAGACGTACCGGTAGTCTCTACCGATGCCCTTAAGATTGAGGCGTGCATGCAGTACCTGCGGCAGTCGGAAGCGAAGGCGCTCAGACGCGGACTGCGACTGGCGCCAGACACTTTCCAGCGCGCCGCGGTTGAGCGGTGGTCGCTGCATATGTACGAGGCAGCGGTATATGCTCTCAACATGTGACAAAAACAACACGGGGTGGCGACGCTAGAGCCTGAACAAGAGCGCCCTCCCGGTTGCCCGCGGCACGAGTGGCGCAGAGAATTCAACAGAGGGTGACGACCGCCAGTTCGGGGCGCTCTGCCAGCCGCAAACGCGCCCTCAGTCGTCCTTTCATGCGGGGGGACAGGGTGGCCGCATCATCGCGGACTGGGGTTGGCAAAGGAAGCGCCCCGCGTCATGCGGCCCCTCCACCTCCAGAAGCCGCAGGGACAGGCCGGGGCAAACGTGCCCGCGCAGAGGGGGGTAACCGCACACCGTCCCCGCCTTCGGTGAAGGCGCGGCCATGCCGCTACACGGACATTCGCGAATCGGCCCCAAGCGGTTCCGCTTCATCCGAGCCCCAGCGCAACCGGCCCGACTCCACCCCGCGACCTTGGCACGATCGGAGGCAAAGCCGACCCCCAGCAGATCGAGCCAGGCCGGGAGCTTTTGGAGCGCGTGGATGGGGCCCCTCCAGCCAGGCCGGGAGCAGAGGAGCGGGCAAGAACGACCGCGGCAAGGGCGGTCGCGACAGCTGGGGCGATCGCCGCCACGACGCGAGGGGCTGGCCATGGCGACGCGGCGACGGATGGAACCGGTGATAGCACCAGACGCCCATGGCGAACTGGTGGCTAAACCGGCAAAAGCACCTTAAGCCCATGGCAAAATGGTGACCTCAACGAGGCGCGCGGGGCTGCTGACGGCTGTGTGAGCCTCGCGCCCGGGCTTGCCCGCATTCGGCGCCGTCGGAGACGTTGGGTCCCGATGGTGCTGCGTCGGCCCCGGCCAGCTACTTCGGCCGGGTCGCCGCGGGGGGAGTCGTTGCCACGCGCTCCCTGCCGCCGTAGATGTACGAAAGAGCGCGTTCTACCGCTGCCGGCGGAAAACAGGGGGGGGGTCACTACTGGTTCGAACCCTCCCCCTCCCCCCTCCGGAAAACCGGGGGGGGGCGCTGCGGGTTCGACCCCCCCCCAGCTCGTCGTGAAAAGGGAGGGGGGGCCACTGCGGTTCGACCCCCCCCCCCTTGGAAAACGGGGGGGGGGCCCACTGCCGGTTCGAACACCCCCCCCCCTCCTCGAAAACCGAGGGGGGGTGCGGACAGTGGTGGGGGCGGTGGTGGCGGGGACAGTGGTGAGGGGGCAGCGGGACAGTGGTGGCGACAGTGGGACAGGTGGGGGCTGTTGTGGTGGGGGCAGTGGTGAGGACAATGGCGGGGACAGCGGGGGCAGTGGACAGTGGTGGGGACGGTGGTGGTGGGGAAAGTGGCGGGGACAGGGGGAGGTGGAAACAGTGGGGCAGTGGAGGGTACAGTGGTGGTGGGGACAGTAGCGAAGGCGGTGGCGAGGACGGCGGTGGGGCAATGGGGCAGAGGTACAGCGGGGACAGTGGTGGTGACAGTGGGGACAGTGGTGGGAACAGTGGGACAGCTCAGTGGGACAGCGGAGTGGGGCAGTGGGGACAGTGGGGATAGTCGGGCAGTGGTTGGGGCCGTGGAGAAAATGGGGAGAGTGGAACCGTGGTGGGAACAGTGGTGGGGGCAGTGGGGACAGTGCGACAGTGGTGGGAACACTGGTGGGAGCAGTAGGGACGGTGGTGGAACCAGTGGGGACAGCGGTGGTGAGGACAGTGGTGCTGGGAACAACAGTGGGGGATGTGGCGCGGACGGTGGTCGGGACCGGGGGTCGTTTGCTGGCGGTGAGTGGGGGGGGGGGGTGGGGGGGGGTTCGAACCCCCCCCGGGTTTTCCGCGGTTTTCGAGGGGAGGGGGGGTTGGAGGGGTTAGGGGGTTTGGGGCGAGGGGAGGGGGGGGGGGGTTCAGCAAGGGGGGGGGATTTTCGGAGGGGGGGGGTGGGCCCCCCGGGTTCCGGAGGAAGAGGTGGGCAATTTTTCCACAGTAAAGCGGCGGTGGATCACGCTCCCTCGTGTGTACATATGTGCGCTGACTTGAACATTACCTTGGCTGATCGAAAGCTATATGGGATCAAAGAGAAATGACGCGCGCGCGCCCCGCATTCCCTTTTCTCCTTATCCGCTTAGCGGACCGTCGAACCTCATACTTCAACGGCTACCGCCGATTTCTCTGCCGCCATGGTCTCTCGGGAATCCTCGAGCCCAAGGCGCTCCTCGGAACCATTGCATTGCTAGGAGCACCACATTTACCACCTGTACAGCCTGATCACTTTGGCCCTGTTGGGCATAACTTGGGTAAAGATTGGATGTGGAGGAAGGTGTCGGAGGGTGGGGGAAGGGCTGAGAGGGAGGAGGATGAGGAGGAAGAGGGTGGACGAGGAACAGTGTTGGGGAGGAGGAGGAGGATGAATGGGAGAAGGGGGAGTGGGGGGAGGATGAGGAGGAGTAGGAGGAGGCGGAGGCGGAGGCGGAGGCGGAAGAGGAGGCGGAAAAGGAGGAGGAGGAGGAGGAGGAGGAGGAGGAGGAGGAGGAGGAAGGGAGATAAGGAGGAGGAGGAGGAGGAGGAGGAGGAGGAGGAGGAGGAGGAGGAGGAGGAGGAGGAGGAGGAGGAAAAAGGAAGAGGAGGCGGCGGCGGAGGAGGAAGAGGAGGAGGAAATAGGAGGAAAAGAGGAGGAATAAGTGGCAATACTCGCAGGGACTTCATTTCAGCAGTCCACAGTCGACAGGAGGAGGAGGAGGAGGAGGAGGAGGAGGAGGAGGAGGAGGAGGAGGAGGAGGAGGAGGAGGAGGAGGAGGAGGAGGAGGATGGGGGAGGGGGAGGAGGAGGAGGAGGAGGAGGAGGAGGAAGGAGGAGGAGGAGAGGAGGAGGAGGAGGAGGAGGAGGGGAAGAGGAGGAGGAGGAGGGGACGAGCAGGGGGGGAGGAGTGGGAGGATGCGGTGAGGCGGAGGTGGATGTGGAGGGACTTCTGGCGTGTACGCAGTCTATCGGCGGTTTTCCAGCTTCGGGATGCCTTTCGACAGCTCGCCTCGCCGAGAGCGTACCCGGGGTGTGCCCGAATCGTCCCCGACAGTAGCCGGAGAACCATGACCCGAAAGCCACGAGGCAAAGTTAGGGGGATGGGGGGGGGGGGGGCACGACGGCGGTGCCTCTTCCCTTCCACCCTTGCGCCCTCATGTCCCTCCTCCCTCGGGATTTGGTGTCTTATTTGTTCCTATCTCTGTTTCTCCATCCTCCAGCATTCTGCGAGCTTGAGCAGAGATCTTCCGCTGCAGGAGTACAAGCCAGAAAACGACCTGAAGCCCAACGACACCAGGTTCCCGTACCCAACTGAGATCGAAGGACCGTCCAAGGTACACATGGAGGGGAGCAGAAGGAGGGGGAGAAGTAGCAGGAGGAAGTTGTGACGGCAATGCACATTTCTCGACGCTCACGCTGCCGTCGTATCGTCGTAAGGTTGCGTGCTTTCAAGAGGTGTTATGTCGTCGACGGTTGTTGAATGCACGCTGCCTGTTCTATGCCTTTCAGGGCCTTCGTCCGTCGAATGGATTACCTCTGCGATCATCTTGGCCAGGACGCTCAAATAACGCCAGCTGTTGCGACACCGCGCGCGGGGCACTACACGCACGGCGCTGGGCACAAAGCGCCCCCACGCACGGCACCGTGCGCAGGGCAAGCAGAGATGGCAGGCTCACGCTCGGCCTGTGAGCGCGCCCCGGCACGCACACGCTGCCACGGGTGTGGCGCAAGGCGCCCCACAGGAGGCACGCTGCGCACCGAACGCGGCACACAACAGCATGCGTATGGCACCTGACAGCAGGCGCACGGCGCCAAGGACGGATGCGGGGACACGGCATCGGGCATGCAGCCTTCGACTCAGAGCACCGGGCGCAGCGCACCACGCAGGCAGCAGCTGTCATGCCACAGCAGGTGCGCGGCTTGCGGCACAGGGCACCGTGCACACGGTGCCACGCACAAAATGCGGTACTACGTAGGTGGCACCATGCACGCAGAAAGCTATCGAAGGCGCCTTCGGCGAATCACCGACGCTCCTCGTCCTTTGGAAACCGCCCGTGTGGCCAATCGTTGGCGCAACGTTTGGCCAAGTTAGTGGATTATTTCCCTGGAACCACCGTGGAAACCCTTGTCGGGGCCCTCGGGGGCCGGGGGCCTCCTGGGGGCCTCTGAGAGGCCTCTTTGGGGCCTGCTGGGGACCCTGTGGGGGCTTTTTGGGGGCGTCTTGGCGGTCTCCTCGGGGTTTCATGGGCAGTCTTGGCCCAAATTTGATTGTGCTTCACCGCGAGGCACACAATCGCTATCGATACCAAAAGGATATTCCTCTTGCTTAAGATGGCACATCCTCTCCTACTGGGACTATCGTTAGTACGGTACAACAGAGCTGGAGATTGGCTTCGCCTAGGGCTAAGCTGCTGGCTGGGCCTCCCAGCCTCCTTTCAAATTCGGTAGCGGAACTGGCCTATGTTGGTCAGCTTTCGCTCTACTCCTCACTATCCACGGCACTATCTGGTGGACTACGGACATGGTGGAACATCAGGGTGCAATGGGTTTGCGCGGAGGAATGTATATAGCTACGCAATACCGCAAGGACATTTGCAGCGATACCTCTGCTCAAGCGGAGGTTTCTTACTTACATCATACATCCCTGCGCTTCTACACTCCTGAAGTCCACCCACCGATTCCACTTGGACATGTTTCCGAATATCTAACGCATGGAAACTTGCGATATGAAATACTGCCGCCTCCAGCCCCACGCAGACTTACGACTACCCAGCGGAAGTCCCGACCGACTACATCCGATTACGACCTACGAGGCCATTGGACAGGTGTTACTATGTTTGGTCTCGCGTGGGTCGCTATCGGGTGTGCGGTAGGACATATGCGTGGCGGAGACGCCGCAATAATGACCGGCCCTCACTGGGATCCAGCCGGGCAGGTACCTTTTTGCGAAGTCGCCCGCGAAGTACATGCCTGGATCAACGTGACCACAGGCAATATGACGCCTTCCCAGCAAGCTGCAGCTCTGCAGCGAGAGTTGGGAGGTATCGCGCGGACCATATCCAGGAGAGTCCTTCCATCAGTTATCAACTTTGGCGTCAACATAGGTGGCCGCCATACTGACGGCGTCACCTACATCATGGTCCTCTTAAGCACGAAGTTCGAGAATTTAGAAGAGCGCCGATTCAACTCTGGTGCGGCTCTCATTGATTTCCGAGCCAATGCGGGAGAACGCCTCGACCAGACGTTAGCACGGTTTGATATAGCCCGCTATGAAGCTGAAACAGCCGGCTTCAACGCCCCCAACTTCCAAATCCTAGCAGTGATTTGTTTCAGAGCGTTTGGAGTGGGGACATCGCGTGCGCAACAACTCCTGCAGCCTCTAAGCCACCACATGCCGAGATGCCAGCGACAATTTGACGCTCTACTTGGACGTATGAGGCCACGTGCTCACATTGCTGAGAGAACCCCTGGCAAAATTGGTGGTATCTTCAGTCACGGTCATCGAACCGAGACCTTCCACGTGGGGGCTAACGCAGGGCAGCCTGCCAACAACGTCTGGAATGATGATCCACGACCAACTGAGACCACTACGCTGTTGGCTCAGGATGGTGGAGCGGCCTCGGGGTCGCAAGACTCCTGGGCCAGGCTTCGGTGACCGCCCGATGCGGTTTCCCCCATGCCAGCCATGGCCCCAATGGGATCAGCGGGGCAGCCCGCCGAGTCCGACTTCGACTCCGGTACTGTAACCGATGCGTCTGCAGACGATGAAGCTACAGCCCTTGCTGAGTCTGATATGCCAACGTACCTTACTGAAGAGCAACAAGCGCAATGGTTATTTTCAGGCTACCAAAAACACAAGCGTCGCTGGCGAAGATTCATCAAGACACCAGTCCGAAAGGCAAGGCGTCTCGCACGACGATCGCTTAAGGGGGAGGGCGAAGGTCGAAGTAGAGGTAAAGGTAATTGTCGGCGATTGCATGGTAGAGGCATACTAGCATTCTTAGCATCTCTTGCTCGACCTCAGCATCGGGCAATGCTTCTTGGGACTGGCAGAAACCGCAGGCATTCATCGGGGAAGGGCAATGGGCGACGGGGGAACCCAAAGGATACCAACGGTAAAGCTATGGAGTGCGACATATGCCACAGCGCGCAGCATTTCTGACGCGAATGCCCTCGAGGTGATGGAAGAGGCAGGGGTCCGTCAGTACATTTGGCCCAAACAGATTCCGATATATAATATGTTGATTGGGGGTTTCTTTTAGCTCGCCCTGCCGATAGTTCAGCCACAGTTGTTAATGTCACGGCTGCCGCGCATCTCATCGCCAGTGAGGCCCTCGAGAATTGCGCCGACGAGCTGTTCGAGGAGGTGTTCGCTGGCCACGACGACGTCGATTTGGCAGAATGGCTGGGCATGCCCATCGCTGGGCAACCTGCAGATGTCGAATTTGACGAGAATTTCCACGTGCCCGCCGAAGGAGATGCCGACGTGGCGGGGGCGCCCGCAGCTGCAGAAGTTACCATTTCTTCAACAGGCGAGGAAATGCAGTCAATGCTATCCTCGGGTTATTGGAAATCCGACAGCAACGGAATTCAGTGATGGTGATCCTTTTGCGGGGGAACCCTCGAGGCGCTGGTGATCTATCTGGGCGCATTCCATAGGAGCTTGGTCATGCAGAAGAACTTCGATATATTATTCTTGATTCAGATCGGCCCATGAGCCGCCAGGGGCGATCGGCAAGCCGCGAGGTCTGGGGGAAAAAGTATCGCGACGACGACGAGGGCGAATGATGGGGAGATAGCGACCGCGCGAAACCTCGCGGTCGGATCCCCAGTCGCTCACCTTCTCGCGCGCGTGCCCGCTCCAGTGGCGCGCTCTAGCGGTCGTCGGCGCCCTCGTCTTCTGGATGCGGGAACTGCGAAGGCCCCGCCATGGCAGGCTAATGGGCCAGCCACCCCCCGGAGGAGGGGGCGCTCGCGGGGGCGCCCGCCTCGAGAGGGCCAACCGCGAGAAGAATAGACAGAGGGCGGGAGTCAGCGCCTTGTTGGCTGCGCAGAAGCTGGATTCAGCGCGTGCCCCCGGAAAAGATGAGAATCGATTTGGCTCAGGGTTGGACCGGGCGCCAGATCCGTCGCTGGTCTCCCCTTCGCAATGTCAAACGAAATGAGGGCGGCAAGATCGTTCGCTCGACAGGGGCTGGGCCTGTTAAAACACAAGAAAAGATTGGCGCGCGCAACCTCAAGAGAGCTATCTTCGAGGAGAGGAAGCTCTACATAAACGTTGTCCTCATGGCCCGAATGTGCTGACCGCGGGTTTGGCTGCCGCATGAGGCGCCCATCAAGAAGCCCGTTATATATATATATGTATATATATATGTATGTATGTGTGTATATATATATATGTATTTATATATATATATATACATGCATCTATATATTGAATAAAAGGCACCGTGGGATTGGTCTCATGGTGATGGTCGGGGTCGCTGCACCGACCCTAGTGCAGCGCCATATGAGGAGCAGCTGACGGAGAGCGACTACGACCGCGCCACAGCTGATGAAATAGCCCGATCAAATGTCACCTCTTCATCATTTGGCGCAGTTCCATCGCGTTTCGCACGCAGGGGAACCTGCCGATCATAAACCGCAAGAAGAATATGATCAACAAGAAGCTGATGAAGATGAAGATGACGAGATGGCCGAAGAAGTTGCCCCCGCGGACGCGGCCCCTGAAGGGCGCGCGTCGGGCGATTCCGGTGTTGCGGACGCCGCGTGCCAGTCGAGCACTTAGATTGATCCTGGGTATGTTGTTACTGGAGCGATGGACCTCTCCCCCGATTGGCGGATTGCTTACCGCGCTGAAGGTGTAGGCTGGCTAAAAAGCATTGAAGAATGACCCAGCGCCGCCAGGTTCCTTCTTGCAGGGAAACCAAAGACCACTATTTAGAACCTGGCCCAGAACGCCAGATGGTCGCGATTCCCGTGCGACGTGGGCCCGGGGCACCGGCAGTGGCCGCGGCTAAGGCAGCTCCCAAGCCGATGCCAGGGGCATCCCTTTGATGATTCTCCATCTTCGGATTCATCAAGTCCGTCGATTGGCCCTGATCAGTTCAGGCCTAAAAGGAAGAAGCGGAAGAGCCCAGATGATCCTAACCCTGGAGACAGTAAACAGCAGCGATCTGCGGGGCAACCTGCTGACCGACGTCGATCCAGAGGACCAGCAGCGGCTGCCGCCGCAGCTGCATTTCAAGGCACCAGTACTCCTACTCCAAGGAACCTGTGCCACGTCACGGCCCTGCACCAGGTCGGACGCACAGGATTGGCTGGGTGCCCTCGC